TGGCCCCAAAACTCCTCAGCTAAGAGGCCCCAAATGGAAGACTTGCCTGCTATGAGGTCAAGCCACCTCAGATGTCCCGTCATCTCTTTCTGCACCCACTCGGGAACATTTTCTATCTAGGGACTGCCCCTCAACAGAAGTTTAACATCTCAGAGATCAGAAGGGCCCTAGAACTAAGTCCACATGAACAGAAACCGTGGAGACAGGGGCCTGACTCAGGCATTCCTGAGAAGCGGATCCGCTCCCTTTCCATCTCCTGCAGCAGCTCCTGCTGGGCCTGGCAAGTGAGTGCCTGGGGCAGGATGGGGCCGACACCAGCTCCCGCCCTACACAGCACAACCAAGCCATTCAAACAGACTTGGACAGGCGCAAGGTCCCTGCTGCTGCAGGGATGCCATTCGGCGGCAGGCATGCAGGACACGGGCTTGGATCCTAGTTCTGTGTCCCAACACATCAATAGCTACCACGGAGCGAGGGTGTACGCCACTAATCATTCATTTGTCCAAAACACGCATTAAAGAGCTACCCTATGGCAGGCATTCCGGTAGGGCGGTGGGTACAGACAGTTAACACGTCATACCCCTCCCTCTAAGAGTCTGGCCATAATTAGCTTCTCTGCCAAATAAGGGAAAATAGGTAAGCAAGTGGATGGTCCAGGCAAACCTCTCTCCCTGCACAGCAGACACTGCATCCCAGGGCACCCACACAGATTACGTGCTCAGAGAGACAGTTCTGTGGGACACTCTGCCTTAGCTGAGCTCACCGTTGCTCAGACTCACCATCGCCCTGCTGGAGCTTAAACGGCTGTCCTGGGGGAGGATGAAAGACAGTGGGAGACAGGGCAAGAAGCTCCCTAAAGCTTCTACACAACAATATCTCCACTGAGGCCAGAGCTGACCAAAGCGGCCCAAGTGCTCCAGAGTCACGCTTCCCAACCACCCAACTATGACACATTCTCCCCCGTCTACAAAATGGGATCCAACCAACAGCTTCACACCTTTAAAAACTATGAACTGAAACAAATGCTGGGCACCTTCCCCTCAAGGAACACAATGAGGCTGGGTAGGTGGGTAGGGGAGATGTAAGGGAGGACAGGGCCTCTGTGGGCCTGAGGGGCAGCGCTCTGGCAAGAGAAGAATGCTCTGCTGAGCTGACGCTGCAGTCACCACCCACCTGGAGCTCCACGACCCCATGCCCCGCCAGCCCAGCTCTGCCCGCTTTCTATCCCCTACTGACTGCATCCCCCCGGAGATGCCCCTTCAGCCTCTCCCACAGTGTCAGCACATCGCCATTCGCAGCCTCAACTTCTGCCCAGTAGCAATAAAATGTTGGTACCCACTTGCCTGCCTTCCCTGGCACACAACGCTCTGCAGAGCAGGTGTCAGAGAAGGGGAGGTTCCCAACTCAACTCCCCTGGCCCTGAGAGGAGAGGGCCAGGCAAGCAGCCCCTCAGGTTGGCCAGACAAGGAAATATTGGTGACCTGTCATTCATGAACGTGATTATAAATATATGTCATACCCCTCTACAATTAAAACCATCCAGGTTAAAATTTGAATAATTCACAAACTTACAGTGTGGTATGAATTTGGAAACATTGATCTGAAGTAATGTTTTCCAAATTCTATTCTACAGACATTACCCTGCAAGATAATCTATGGGAAAAATAAGTTCGGCAGCCAAGAAGGTGTGAGGAGTGCTGTTAACCCAATCCTCCTGGAAGCTGCCCATGTGCAGTCACTTAGGAAAGCTCTGGGACAGCTCTGCACCCTGCAGCAAAGACCTACCTAGTTCACCTTGTTCAGCCCAGTGCAAGGTGTGCTTTCATTTCTTGAAACTCTCATCCTATGATACCTATTAACCAGAGAGGTGATGCGGTGCGGTAGGGAAGCACGCGGACTTCGGAACAAGGCTGCCTGGGTTGACTGTGGCTCTGCCACTTACTAGCTTGAACCTTGAGCAAGTTCCTCAATTTTATCTGTGAAACACAGGACACCAACAGCCGCACCTACCTATGTGCGAACTATTCCTAACAGCATTTATAACACAACAAGCTCTAGAGAGGTGTTTATGAACAGCCAACAGAACTAGTGTTCTAAGACACACGTTGGGAAACACTAATAGAGAACTGGAAGCCCTATAGAATTCTAGAGATGTCGTCTCTCCATAAGATTACAGACTGGTAGGGGAAAGGGTATGTAATTATGACTCAACATGTTAAGTCACGACCAAGGAGTATGTGCGGACTTTGGAACCCAAAGAAGGGAAGGAACTGCATTTCTAATGGTGAGGAAGGTTACAGGAAAGAATCTACGGCCAAATTGACAGAATTGACAGAAATCCCAAAACATGAGCAGGATTTCACCACGCAGAAAAGTAGAGGATGACTGTGGCAAATAAAAAGTAGGTGCACAGTATGGCTGGGGACAGCGAGAAACCCAATTTGACTGGAGTGGACAGGAGCCGGAAGACGGGATGACGCACTTCACTGGAAACACGCTGACGCTAGGTTGCTACAGGCCTCGCCTTCCAAATTAGGGAGCTTGGGACCTCAGTCTACAGGAAATAAGGAGCACCAACGTCAAAAACAACCAGCCAACCAAGGAAGGATCAGAGTCGCAAGTGAACTGAGTAGAAGAGGAACAGACTAGGCGCAAGGAGACATGTTTCAAGGAAATTAAACCAGTTCAGGTAAGCAGAGATGAAAGAGGCAATTAGACCAGACAAGGGGAAAAAGGGCTGAGAGGTATTTCAAACACAGCAAAATATTGGGTGTGACATTTAGAGAAAGCTTAGATATGACCCCCCCAAAAAAAATGGGGGATGGGGCAGCATTCGAAGTGGGTAATGGAGAAAACCACGGCTGTAGCAAAGGTCCTCGAGATGGACACAGCAGTAGCAGCAGCATGTCCTGGGAAGCGGTGGGTGATAACTTGGGCTCATGTCAGGTTCAAATTCATCCTGGTCTTCTTCCCAGGTGGGGCCAGCTAAGATGTGGGCAATTTGAGTAACTGGGCGGGAAGCAGTTATAGGAATGCTGGGCTCGCCCTGCAAGACTGTCAGAGCGGGAACGGGCTTGGACCGAGCATCACTTCCAGTAAGATCCAGGCTGATGGCGTTTTATTTCTCCCCTCCCAGAAAGGACTCCACAGGGGTACTCTGGATGAGCTGAGCCATTAACTTTGGGAGTCCAGATCCCTTTTAGGAGCCCATTTTGCCCCCCGGAGACCTTCCTCCTCTTCCCCACTTGCTGACAGAAGCCTGGGATGTCTATCCAAAGGAGACGGTTTAGTCCTTTCTCTCTCTTCCACACGGGCCACAAAATTGCCAAGCTCCATCTGCACCCATGAAACTACATTGTGACATGGCCACTTGACATGAGAATATAGTGACATAGCCAAATGTATAGGCTAGTGTGTTTTCAACATTTATTTTCTTACCAGCAATGATGCTCAAATACTCTCACCCTATCTCTAACGCCCCTCACGCTCTTAATCACATCCTCAGCCTAATCGCATCCTTGGGCTTCACTCAGGGATAAGGATAAAGTTCAGGGATGCATTTTGGGCCAGCAAAGTCCACTGTACACATTACATGAAAATTTTTTTTAAAAAAAATTCTTTTTTCTTGTTGTCCTATGTCAGGATGGCTGCAACAAAACCAAAACAAAATTTCCTACCCCAAGCTGTGATTCTTTCCATCTCCACCTGGGTCAGCCAAATCTCCAGGTAGTATTAGCTCATCTAATTAGCTGCCTTTCCTCTCTTGCAGCTGAAAACCACACCCAGAGCACATCAGTCATGTCCGGCCCTGGGTGAAAGCCCCGTTCTCTTCCTGCTGACGTTCCACTTTGAAGCTAATTGCCCTGGCCAAGAACACACAGCTGCCAGTGTGACGCTGAAGTACACTACTACCTGGTGTTTTGCCCGCCAGTTCCGGGCATCCAGGCGTTTCCTGGTCAACTGCTGGAGACACCTGAGCACCACCCTGTGCCAGCTGCAGGGCCCAGACCAGTGTTGTGCCACCTCGCTCTCTCAGGCTGCACCTGCCATCCGCTATGATCCTCAAAACCGGGAAGGGCTCTCTGCTCCAAAAACTTCCTTCCTAACAAGCTCCACTGATAAATTAAAGGCTTCATTCCCCCATCAGATAAAAGGCTAAAACGCAATGAATGATCCCAGAAAAAGTTAAATAACCGTTCCACCTGGAAACTTGAACAGCCCTTCTTGGCAAGGTGATTTTAATCAAACAGAATTAGGAGACACAGAGAGCCTGGAAGAGGCAAGTGGGAGGATGTGGTCGGGGACTGCCCAGAGACAAATCACTTCTACCACCGCTGGCATATGGCGCCTTTGCTATGTGCCAGGCACGGCGCTGGATGGGCTCTTTGTGCATTATCTCATTTACGCAGCAGTGACCCAGTGAAGTGGGCATTATTTCCATTTCGTAGGAGAGCAAACGAGTTCAGATGTGAAGTATCGGTCTACGGCCAAACAGCCACTAATCGGCATAGCGTAAGCGTTACGTTCCACAAGTTCCCTGACGGCCATCTGGGCGCACAGGTGGTGACAGCCTGGGTCATCCCACTCCCACTGGATGCGCCCTGGTAGCGACCGGGGCACAGTCCACTTGGCAAGGAGGCTCCCCCATGGGCGCAGGACACGGGGCAGGGCTGGTCACAGCCATTAGTTCGTTGACCTTGGCCTCAAATGCTAGCTGCAACCCCCGTGAGCCGGGGATACCCTGGCGGAGTGCATGCACGCGTCGTGGCCTCCCCGCGCTAGCCGGGCGCGCGTGACTGTCTAATGGGGCCGGCGCCAGCGTCCCACACCGCGAACTCAGACGAGCGAGGACAGAAATGGTTTCTCCACTCACAACCGCTCCTTTGCACTCACATCCCGTCGGTTTCGGTGTCCCCGGGCTGGGACATTAGGTTCCGCAGGCCTGGCCCTAAGCGTCGGCGGGAGGTGGGGGAGTGGGGCGCGGGTGGTGCGTGGCTTACCTGGCGTTAGATTGGGATCCCGCGCGGCCGGCTCCCTCTTCCCCTTCACGGCAGCGTCCTCGTGCTGCTACTCGGTGGGTCGGCCCTAGCCCCTACCCTTGACCCTCGACCCCGGCAGAGGTGGAGTTGGTCCCACCGCACCTACGGGCGCCCCTCGAGGACAGCACACGCCTGCTTCCGGCCCGGAGCACCTGCTAGGCCGCGAGGAACTCTGGGACATCCGGTTGCTGGCGCACAGCTCTCTGGGACCAGACGCAGGTGAGGTGGAGTGGGCGGAACCGCTCAAAGCCGCGCTCACGTCCTGCGCCCACGCCCTGGCTGCCGGCACCTGCGGAGTCTATTGCCCTCTATCGCTCTTGCTGCAGTTGAGCAAAGAGAGGGGCAGAGAGCAGCTACGGTCGCCATAGCCACTTTCTAACGCACTCCAGAACTTTTCCCATCCCAGGCAGAAAAATAAAACCCAGCAAGAATTCTTTCCACTATTTCCTGTTTTACACTAGACCACAATTCTTAAACTTGGAAGCCAAGCATTTAGTCCTTCGGATTTTTTGGTCTTTTTGGTTTCACCCTCCTTTGGGGTAGAGGTGCCAGAGAAAATACCGGACGCTCAGTCGCAGGAAAACAATAAACGTAAATATTGTCCATGCAATATTTGGGACATACTGAAACGGTTGTTTATCTGTTATTTTTAAATTTATCTAGGCGTCCTCTGGTTTTACTTGCTAAATCTGGCAACCCTACTTTGGGGAAACAGAGGCCACTTCTGGTATCCTCAATCAGGGTAGTGTCACCGAGTAGAAGGCATGTGTTTGTCCCTGGGAGGTAAGTAATTACCTTGATAGTTCACGATCATCTCCTCACATGCCAAAAAAGGCACCCCTCCCATGAACGTTTTTAAAGGGAGCATAATAGGGTCGTTTTATCTGCCAAACCCATGGAGTTTTATCCTCTCAAGTATTTATTTGGAACAAATAAAGCTGTCATATATTACATAAGATAGAATGCACATGTTTCTGTAAATAGCATTGATGCAGCGCAGGCAAGTCCCAGAACTGCTTGACTTTGTCCAGGAAAGAATTCAAGAGTGAGCCCCTGGTGTTAGCAATCTATTATTGAACCGCACTGCTCCTTGCCAGGCTAACTCATAGGCAGTGTGCCCAGAGCCGCACTTGTGGGCTCTTGGCAACTGCATTTATATCCACTTGTGCCCACTTTCAATCACATGCAAATTGAGGGTTGGGTTATTCAGAACTTTCTAGGAAAGAGGAAATAACTTCCGAGTCACTGCCTTGTAGGTAGCTTCCTGTTGTTGCCATGGCGTTGGTAAACTGAAATGGCACTGATGGGAGTATCTTACGTGAATGAGCAATGAGGGCAGCCAGGCACCTGGTTTTGTCACCATCTGCTGGTTCCTGCTGGTTTTTTCACTTCATCCTGTGGGGATAGGGAGGTAAGTCCTGTTGGTCTCCTCCCTCATTTCCCTCTCAAAGATTAGATATTGCTCCTTACTCCTAAGGGGACAGCAGAAGAACAGAGGTCTTTCTTCTGTAACTGCTTCTTCCTGATTTTATGGGCATAGGCCCTGCCTAGTGTTGGAGGAGTAAAATCTCTGGACCTGATCTAAGGGGCACCATGGCAGGATGTTTGTATTCTCTGAGTCAGACGACTGGATGGGTGGGAAGCCTTGAGCAGCATCATCTTCACGTGGAATTGTTGTAGTCTAGAAGACACAGACTTTACTAAGAAGTTAAACAGCGGTCAGGAGCGGTGGCTCATGCCTATAATCCCAGCACTTTGGGAGGCCAAGACAGATGGATCACCTGAGGTCAGCAGTTCGAGACCAGCCTGACCAACATGGAGAAACCCCATCTCTACTAAAAATACAAAATTAGCCAGGCGTGGTGGTGCATGCCTATAATCCCAGCTACTCAAGAGGCTGAGGCAGGAGAATCGCTTGAACCCAGGAGGCACAAGTTGCGATGAGCCAAGATCGCACCATTCAACTCCAGCCTGGGCAACAAGAGTGAAACTCTGTCTCAGGAAAAAAAAAAAAAAAAAAGTTAAGCAAGGGTCAAAAATTAGTAATAATAAAATAGCTGTCAGAGGTCTTAGGAAAGGTCAAAAAAAAATGAGAATAATAGGTGTGGTTTATTATTGCACACACTATTCCTTGTCATGTTATTTATTTGTGCATTTGTGAAACAGCAGCTTTAAGTCTTCTAGGGGTTCACAAGTGTGAGTCATGGTGTCCTCCTCTTATACCTGTGGGGACTTAAGAGAAACAGGTTTCATCCCAGACAGGTATACCCAGCTAGTGATTCCCTGAAGTTTAACAGCAGTGAGGACACTTTACAATACCTGATAAGTGGTCATTGATCCAGTGGTAGGGGAGTCCTTTTTTAAAAATTTTCAGTAAGGCAAAGATGCTGGTTGAATAGGGGAAGCTGTTCTTTTCTTCTGTGGGAAAGGGCAATCCTTTATTTTCATTATGTTGAAAGACCATTTGCACCTTGCCTAAATTTCAAGGGGAGGCACAGTGAGGCATGTCCAACCCCGTATTTCCTGTCATTGCCTGAGTTGTTCAGGTTTCTTTGGGATTCTCTTTGGCCAAGGGATTTACAGCCAACTAAACCTTCTAGGCCAAACAGGAATGGAGGTAGGCAGGCATTCATTAGCCCTTAAAACCCTTTTAAGCAATGTAAGAGTCATAACCTAAAAGCCAAAAATAAACCTATACATCAAGGAAAAACCAAGAGTACAGATTCAAGTTATACCAGGGGAAAACATGGCTTTTAAAGGCCTGTAAGATAAAATATTTTAGCATCAGGCCATAACAACAGTGGGAACCAGAGGAAACAATATTAAAGGCACTGATGAAAAAGCTAAAGGAGACAGTTATCATTGCAGGCCTTCTCAAACAGGGACAGCACCAAAAGCAGCCTGACACAACAGTTGAACTTTTGAGTTAGGAATCTGTATTAGTCCGTTTTCATGCTACCAATAAAGACATACCCAAGACTGGGCAATTTACCAAAGAAAGAGGTTTAATGGACTTACAGTTCCATGTGGCTGGGGAGGCCTCACAATCATGGTGGAAGGCAAGGAGGAGCAAGTCACACCTTACATGGATGGCAGCAGGTAAAAAGACAGCTTGTGCAGGGAAACTCCCGTTTTTAAAACTGCCAGATCTCATGAGACTTATTCACTATCACAGGAACAGCACAGGAAAGACCCACCCCCATGATTCAATTACCTCCCACTGGGCTCCTCCCGTGACATGTGGGAACTGTGGGAGCTACAGTTCAAGATTTGATGGGGGACATGGCCTAAACATATCAGAATCTGTGAAGTTTTTCAAAGAAATAAGTTATAGAATTGAAAAGCAAACATTTTTGTAATTTTATTAACAGCAAATCTATACCTTAGGAAAACCTTGTTTTAACATGGGACCGTTCTCTAGAAAGACTATTAGAAACAATTCTCTTTTAATGACAGCCAAATTAATTACACACAAAATTCCTTTATAAATTCCCCTTTACGAACCTTATCACAACTTAGACCACCTCTGACATGCTTGGACTTTCTGGCTTGTCTAATAGTACAGCTTATTTAAATAATCAGTCATTCTGCCCTAGGACAAGAATTTATCATATAAGATCTTTTTTATAGAAAATTACTCTTTAATATCCTTCCTTACCAATAACTTTTTTTTACATCTCTCTTTTCTACTTACTGGTGTCTTTATATTTTGAACTTCCTTTTTAATAACTTCTGACTTAGATGAAAACTATTCTTTTTCCCAATAAAGGATACATCTTCTTTGGCATATTTTATATAAACCTAGGAAGCAAGAAATCCTATACTGTCTATCAGATATTGAGACTTTATAGATAAGGAACCATTCCATAATTTTAAGACTTTAAACCACACAAAAAGCTCATCATTTAAAGCCATTTTAATCATTCTAAAGCCTACAAATATCAGTGGTTTACCTAGATAAAAATTTTAAAGTTAAATTTTAGAAGATGCAATATTCCCTTTAAACTAATAAGTTTAGATTAGTCTTATGTGTTTAATTTATGAGCGATCTTTTACTTATAAGCCAATTTGATAGCACACTAGACACAACACACATCACACAAAGTGACCTATCCAAGACCGCTGGATCCAAGTTATTTGCAACATTGGGTCCTGTCTACCTGGCCAAATTTTGTTTGCCCTGATAGGTATGGAAAACAGGGAGAGTCAAGGAGGGGGATCCCCTAGAAGGGAGGGAGCAAACCCCATTGCTCAAGGGGAGATCTGAGCCAGCAGACAGTCCACTCAGCAGCAGACACCAAAGAGAAACATTCAGTTGACCACTTGTCTACCACAGAGGGAAAATGTCTGCCAGTCAGGTCAAGGGCCCAGGACCCCCAATAATTTTACTTGAGCGAGGCAGCTGGTTGGGAACGAACGGAGGAAGGTTAGCTCTAGTATTGACGGGTCGCTTTCTCCCTACCCTCTTTCACCAGGATGGTTAGAACATTCTCATTGACAATGGCCCTCTTGCTTATAGTAGGCACGCTGATTCCAGCCCAGGGACCAGCCAGTCAGGGGCTTTCATCTGGGTATCCCAGATGCTGATCTCGTGATACTTTCTTGGGATAGGTAACCCTGAGGGGGCTATCTTAATGCTTTAACCCTGAGATGGTTTAAAGCATTCACTAGCAATTGTGCTTTTTGACTATTTCTTTTGGGTCTCTCTGCCCACTTTGCCCTGTCCCTGTTGTAAACTCTAAGGACCAAGTTCAAGAGTTGGCTTATCGGGGTTTGGGGTCCCACTGCTGCTTTTTATAGCTTCCTTCTAATGTCAGAGGCAGACTGAGTCATAAAATGCATACCCAAGACAGCTTCCCCTTCTAGGGTGTCTGGATTTACCTTAGTATATTTCCTGAGTGCCTCAACCAAACAGCCCTGAAACAGAATGGGATTTTCATTTTTTCCCTAAGTTACTTCGTTAACATTGTTAGGATTAACTGGCTTAACCACACACCTTTTTCTCTGCTTCTTCTCTGCAGCACAGAAAGTGGATGACAATACTTACAAGTCATGCCA